CTACAAAACAGAAAAAGGGGAGATGTAGGGAGAGGATGAAGCTGGAAATTGATCACACCTGTGGGGGCAAAGCAAGTTTGGTCCAAGAAGAAAGAGCACCCAAGGCAAGCCACATGAACAAGCTGCTTCAGTCCAGAGAACTTCAAGCCCTGAGACAATCCAAGCAACGGGTTGCTAGGCAAAAAGGATGTCATGTGACACCCACCTGCCAAATGTATAAATAAAAGCCCTACTGTGGCTGAGCAGCTCCTTTCCTCCCATCTGGAGAGGGCTCCACCTGACCTCAGCTTTCTGTCTCTTATCCTTATCTCTCCATCCTCTCACTGTCCTTCCCCCAGGAACTTCAAGAGCTGCGTGAACCATGGCAATTTGGTTCACCTAACATGATGCCCCTGTCCTGTGCATTACCAGACACACTCATCTTTTGCCCAGAATTTGGCTTTCTATCCTCTGATATAGCATTTTTTTCCCAATGTGAATTGAAGCTTTTGAGATTTTGGCTTTTAGGATGTCAACATTTGATATCACAATTTGGTGATTTTGGAGATTTTAGACTTTAGGGATTTCAACATTTGGGAGTCTGGTGTTCAGCATTATGTCTTTCAGGGTCACGACTGGCACGGGTGCTGGGGGTAGGTACAGAGTCTACAGAAGTAGGCAACATGTGGCTCTGGTGCATGTCTTCACGTCACCTGCTTGTGCCCTCTGCACCTGCACAGTCCTGATTCCAAATGCTGTCATGCCACTTCCACTGCACATAGGTGGACTTCCCAGTTCACAATGGGCAGCCCGGCCGGTGGAGTGGCTCAGGCCTGGGGGTCAGGCAGAATCTCCATGGGGTCCAGCAACAGGCGGAGGAGATAAGTCCTCAAAAGGGGATGAGTGCCTTGCTGTGGAAGACCCTAGGGACCCTTCTCCTGGGTTTGCCAATGCTCCATCCACTCTCCTTGTGCAGCGCTGTGGAACCTTCTGGGCATGGGCTGAGCAGCAGGACACCTTGCAGAGAGGGAATCAGTGGCTTGCCAGCAGCGTCTTTGATCACCTTGACACCCCACAGACAAACCTGGGTCACCATGTGAACGACCTTAGAAAAGGTTGCCTAGCAACTCCTGGTTTTCCTTCATCACATCACCCTGTTTTATTTTTTATATGAATAGCACTTATTGTGACCTGGAATCCTATAATATGTTTGTTTGCTTATGGCCTTTCTCCCCAAGTAGGGGGAAAGCTCCAGGGGGCTAAGGATGGTGTCTGACTTCCTCCAGCTCCATCCCAACCACTGAGCAGTGAATAGATAGATGCTTACTTAAACATGGTATTGAACATCTAAAAAACAGACAGAAGGGGAAGAAATGAGATTTGCTGTGAAGATCCTAAACAATGGGCCATTCTGGCAGTCACTGGGGTGGGAGACGGCAGGTCACGGGGTCTGTCCTTTAGGCAGGGAAGGTCCCCCAGGCCTGGGCCGGCCCCTCACTAGCTGGCCTTCTTGTTGGGTCTGGCTCAGACCTCAAGGAAACAACGTTTTTAATAAAAGCTCAGCGTCAATAAAGCGGAATGATCTCGGCTGCCTCTCCTGCCAGCCTCGGCTGCTGGCTTTAGAAGTCAAGAGGCCAGGGTGTTTCCCAATTCCTACGTAGTCCAGAGAGATATAAGCTGGAGGGGCCTGGCCCATTTTACACCAGAAAAACAAAACAAAACAAAACTCACCGGGCCCTGGAAGGAGGCCACCGCCAGCCAGAATCAAAGGTCCATTCAGAGCCACAGAACTCCTCACATTTGCCGCTAATGAAAACCAAATTTCTTGTCCCTCTGAGCATTTTCAGGGGCTGTGACCAGGAGGGGCGGCTGTAGAACCACCCAGAGGGCCCCCGCTGTGTTAACTCGTTTTATGATAACACAGGCCTCGTATTTTTCTAATTTCAGGCGTCAGTGATTTAGGACTGAGTTATTTTCATGGAAAAAGAAATAGAACCGGTTTGAGGTAGGGGAAGACTGACCCTTGGCAGATACTCCCGTGAGCACCAGGAAGGGCCTGGGACCCCTCAGGGACGCCTCTCCTCCATGAGCCCCTGGGGGTGGGGGCAGACCAACTGGGGTCACTCAGGGGTACACGGACGGTGATGCTTGTTCTTCTGTTTCCTGCTGTGTGAAATCCTAGAATCACAACTTGAAAAGGTGGATAGAGGCCTCTCTCAGCGCCAGAAGGACCATAAATGGATGTCCTTTCTTCAAAAATATGTTCCTGTTTGCCATGCTGGGGATTGAATCTAGGGCCTCCTGCCTGATGGGTGAGCTCAGGCCACACCCAGCTACTTCTGTCTTTTGTCTTCTCTGCTTCTGGTTTTCAGATGTTTTCTCACTTCTTTGCTTTTTCTCCCTTGATGTCATGAGTTACAAATAGAGTCACAAAGGAATGAGAGAAATGTCACGGTTCCCCCTAAAGCCAAATTTATTCTTACTTTGAACTTCCAATGTCTTTATCTACTTATTTATTTTAGGGTGCTGGGGATGGAAACCATGGCCCCCCCTACATACCTAGCATGTGCTCTACCCCTGAGCTACACTCCAACCCTATTCCAGTTCCTTCAGCTGGTGGGAAATTAATTAATTAGTTAATTAATTAATGTAGAGACAGGGTCTTGCTATGTAGCCCAGGCTGACCTCGAACTCACAGCAATCCTCCTGCCTCAGCCTCCCAAGTGCTGGGATTACAGGCAGGAGCCACCACACCTGGTTAGCTGGTGGGAAATTCAGAGTCAACCTTTCTCTCTATTGCTCTGCCTTTGTTAGGATTAGGGTGGAATTCTGTCCTGGTTCCTCAGTTTTCTTGTCTGTAAAATGGGGGATCATGATAGTATAGATTTCAATGGGCTGAGCTAAGCATGGTGAAATAGAATAGTTCCTGGCATACCTCAGTATTAGCTGTCATCATTACAAAGATAAAGAGAAAGTGTGAGCCCAGCATATACCATACAAGGCAATCTGGAAAAGGGGACATTTTGGTGAATGATAGATGTATTGGTTTTAGTGTGATCTTGAACTCTGCTGCTTGCTTTTTGTTTTTGAGGCAGGGGTCTTACTACATTGCTAAGTCTGATCTCAAACTCCTGGGCTCAAGTAAACCTCTTGCCTCAGCCTCCCAAGTGCTGGGACTATAGGTGTGCACCACCAACGTCTGCCAGGATATTTATCAGTCTAGGAATTACCTGGGCACTGAGGCACACACTTGTAATCCCAGGTCCTTGGGAAGCTGAGGCAGGAGAATCATGTGTTTACGGTTCACCTGTTGTTTTACACAGTGAGACCATGTCTCAGATAAAAAAAAAAACTAAATAAATAAAAAGAAAGAAAAGAAAAAAAAGTCCAGAAGTTAAGTTTACTACACCCCTGACAGCTGTGCTTGGTTACAAAACTTGGAAATTACAGAAAAATAGAAAACAGCTATAATCTCATTTTTTCAGTGGTTTCATTCTAGGTTTTAACATTTTAAAATTATATTAAATAATAAACTAGATACAGTATGAATCTGGCTAGAAAAATGTTGATTCCTAAGAAGGATTTAGAGATTTGTAAAAAGCAAAGTTCTCAATGTGCTTGGGGAGGGTAAACCCCAAAATATTAACAGTGATTGGTTATCTTTGGTGGGCTAGGATTATCAGTAATCATGCTTTCTTTGGGGGAATCTGTATTGTCTATTATTTCTTTTATGACTGTGTCTTATTTAGTGTCATTTAAGACTGTTATTAAAATGTAATACATAGAACACGGGACGCTTAGACTCACAGCTGCTACAAATTCAGACACCAGAGGACAGCGGCAGCTGGACCAGTTGTGAGCCCTGCGACCTCTAGGGTGCTTGTGACCACCCATGTGGTCAGAGCGCTGTCATGGGGGAACTGAGGCACGGCGTGAGGTTCTGCTGAAAACTTGGTGTCTAAGCAGGGCCTGCGGAAGGCCTCCCCACCCGTCTCCCAAGAGGCGCTCCCTCCCGCCACCTGCTGCTCGCTGAAGGCTGCCCGTGCTGCCATCTGCAGGCCACTTCCTCTCAGTGCACCGTCACTGCCAAGCCTGCGACTTTGGGAGTCTCGGTTTCCTCTTGTCAAGGCGGGTACCGGTGATGGAGGCTCGAGGCAGAGGCTCTGGAGGCCACAGCTCTCGCCCATCAGCTGTGAGCAGGGGCCATCGTGCCCTAAAGGGACCCGAAGCAAACAGGGACAGAAGCAGGGTGACCAACTCTGGTCACTGTGGGGAGATAAGGTCACACCTGTGGGGAAGACGCCACCCAGGGCACCCGCGGAGTCAGCCTGCAGCCAGGCCGGATCCCGCTCATAATGAACTTGCTGCCCTGGGGGCCCAGTCCAGGCTGGGTGGGCAAAGGTCAAGGTGTTGGCTGGGGAACGGGAACTTCCTGTTGGGCTCTGGGTAAGACTGACCCACCACCTGAACAGGGCCAAATTTGGGGTTAGGTTTGCAGTAGATGTCACTCAAAACACATTTATTTTATGAAAACTCCCCCCTACACATCCCACGGGCCAGGCCCAGGCCCACACTTGGGCATGTGTGTGGAGCTCCGTGCTGGGATGAGAAGAAGGTTATAAGGCCAGGTCCCAGCTCAGCCACTGTAACTCCAGGGAAATGGGGAGCCCAGGAGCCCCCATGGGTGCACCTGTCATCTCACCTGTAAAGCAGGGGTGCTAAAGTGGCTGCCTGCTCTGCACGAGCACGAACACAGCCCCGGCAGGGCTCTCCCCAGGCCCCAGGAACAAGCTGGGTCTAATGTTCTTCTAGGGGCCTGGCTGTGCCAGGAGGACTTGCCTGCGGTCCTGGGGCCAGGAGGCCACAGTGGCATTTCTGACAGTTGGATGAAAGCAGGCCAAGCTGGGTGTCTCCCCAGGTGCAGCTCAGCGCCCTCCTTTTCTTGTCTCCTTCTCCCTGGGCGAGGGCAGGGGGCTCCCACCCGCTGGCCACACACACAGCCCAAGGAGTCTGGCACGGGATCATTCAACACATCTCAGTTATATTATTGTAACAAACCAGTCAAAATTTCATTTTACAGTTAAATAGTACAGAAGACAGACAGTTTACTGTACAAGCAGGTTGTGCACGAGACACAAACACACCAAGCAAATGATAGTGCAAAGCAGCTCCACCCCCCCACCCCACCCCCCGCTTGGGACGATTTTCTGGAAGATGTGACCACAGCAGATCTGGGCACCTTGGCATGACAATATGTCACAAAGGGTCTGCACCCACCACAAACACGCTTACACAGACTTCGTACCAAACCCCGTTCCTTGTGCTTTCTACATGTTGTGTGTGTGTGTGTGTGTGTGTGTGTGTGTGTGTGTGTGAGCCTTGCAAATCAGGACTCATTCTCACCAGCCAGGAAGTCCGTACCCACTGTGGACCCAAACAGACTCACCCGGTCACCATCACTGCTTGTCAGGGGATGAGAGAGGGCAGGGGTCCATCTGCTTCCTGTCCTGCCATCAGGGCGTGGGCATCAGGAAGGGGTAGTCTCAGGTGCGGCTACAAAGTACTGGGCACTGGGAACCCCAGGGCATGTCTCCTGCCAGCCGTGGGAGGGAATGAGGCAAGGGGCAGGGCAGTGCATTTGCAGCTGCTTCCTGAGAAGGCACGGAGGGCCCCTGGGCGCAGGGAGTTGGCCGCTATTGTAAGAGATGGGGAATGCCGTTTCCAGTGAGAACAGGGCAAGAGGAGTGGTGGCAGGAGGGATGGAGCAGGTTCATCGGAGCTTCCTAACCTGTCCGGGACGGATCTAACTGTGCTACAGCTGGGCTAGCCTGGCCATCACACAGACCACCAAGAAGGAGCCCCGAAGGGGAGATTTCCACATCCACAGGATGTGGCTGAAAGCTATGAAATCGCATGGTATCCAACCCTGGTTTTCTCACCCTTTTCCACTCAAGAACTCAGACACAAGGACCCTTGTAGACCCTTGTGTTCCCCTCTGCAAGATGCAGGGGTTTCCATCATCTGCAAGATGCGGGGGGAACATCTGAATAGGGGGCCTGAGCCACGGGTGGGGCTGTCACACAGTCAGCACTGTTCGCACTTCCCACCCAGCCCAGCAGGCCCCGCCCTGTCACTTGGACGAATGTCCCAGAACATAGACATGGCGTTCCATCCCCCTACCCACAGGTCCCTGGGTTCCCTGGCCGAGGTAGGAATGTGACAGGGAGGAGGCAGTGGGATCCTGATAACAGAGCGCTGGCAGGAGGCAGGGGTGTGTGTGTGTGTGTGTGTGTGTGTGTGTGTGTGTGTGTGTGTGTAGTTCACAAGCCCAGAACACTATCTGCTGCAGGGCTTGGGTTCAAAATGTGTAACTGAAGCTGCTTTCTCTAAAATCATTTTTAAAAACTGTTTTTTGTCCAAGACTTTTTTGGTTCAGGAGTGCAAACAGGTTGGAGAGAGCTATGCGGCAGGGACTGGGAGAGGAGGCTGGGCCACTCCAGAGGTGAGGCAGTGCTCCGCCGGCCCTCAGCCACAGGGCACAGACCTGACCACGCCACGCCACACCTCAGTGCTTTCTGCCGGGACTCGGGGGACGCCCGGGTTCTTTCAGCAAATGGCAACCAGGAGACTCCCCATGAGGCCAGAGGGGGACGTCGCGGTCTGGGCACATGCGTGGAGGGTGGTGTGTCCAGGGCCCTGCTGCTGAGACGGGCCAGGGGCCTCTGAGCCACTAGAGAGGGTGGGGAGCAGAGCTGGGGGCCTGCTTGGGTGCATGCTCGTCCCTCCTGCAGGGGTGTCCTGCCCCATCTCTCCGGTGGGGCTTTCCAGTTCTGACTCACTGGGTGTAAATGCAGACCGGGCTGGCCCACAGTGCAGGGCGTCTGGCTGCGGTCGGGGACCTCTTCCCTGGGGCTGGGGCCGACCCCTGAGGGTGAGATCCCTTCTCTGGGGTGGAGATGGCCTGGGCCCAGCGGGAGACAGCGAGGTGGTTCAGGGGAGGTGGCAGGAGTTTCCCGCGGGGGTGGAGGATGAGATGACTGGGACACGGGCTGGGGACAGGGTCCCCTCTGTACAAAGATGTGGCCGGGTGGGTCTTCTAGGAGCCGCAGCAGCTCTGGCCCCTGGGGCACTGGCTGCAGGGAAGCAGGAGTCCCACTGCTGCTTGGAGCCTCGGAGTGGGCCGGTCCCTGTCGGAGCACTGGGTCCTCTCATCGGGGTGTCGATCGGCCGCAGGTGGGCAAGCAGGTGGTCAGTAGGGCCGCCACACGGCCTCGTCCATGCGGCCCGGCGTGCTCAGGGCGGTGGGTGAGTTGCTGTGGCTGCCGTCGGCCTCCACGCCGTCACCCTGGCCCAGGCTGGGGTTCATGAGGTTGCCGGTGGCCACGGAGACGGCGCTGCTGGGGCAGGAGGTCAGCATGCGGGTGGGCGAGCGCTCGCCACCGCCACTGCCCCCGCCGGCCACCATGGAGAACTGGTAGGAGCCCGAGGAGGCGCCGTAGTAGAGGTGGTAGGGTGCCGGGTTGGCCTGGAAGGGCCCGTTCTGGCTCTGCGTGGCCCCGGGGTAGGGCGGCGGGAGGTAGGTGTGGTGGAAGCGGCTGGTGGCCGGCATGCCCGTCACACTGAGGCTGCCGATGCTGGTGCCCGAGGGCGTGGCGCTGTAGGGGAAGGCGGCCGACATGGCGCCGGGGTAATGCATCCTGGGGTCGGGGAAGCGGCTCTCCGTGAGGGTGAAGGAGCGGTCAAACTGGCGGGGGTCGGAGAAAGGGTTCAGGTCCGAGGTGCCTGGGCGACAGCAAGGAGGATCAGTTGCCGCGGGAGACCACCCCAGGGCTCTGTCTCACGCCCCAAGGGAGACAGTGGGGCTCCCTGGTGCTCTGCTCTTTGGGCCCTGGTGCCAAGACACCCCGAAGAGCCCACCCTGACAGCAGGTGCCTGCGTGGCCACAGCCTGATGGAGACCGCCACCCTCAGCGGGAGCAGAGCAGGGGAGTGCACTCCACAGCCCGGCGGGCCCAGGCTGCGCACAGGGTTGCTGGAAGACCGGGATGGTGCAAAGGGTCTCAGTGGCCCTGTGGGACTCGGGCTGAACTCCACTTCCTCAGATCAGGAAACTGAGGCACAGAGAGGCTGATTCTCCTGATATTGCACAGAAAGGACCAGAGTTCATCACGAGGTCTTTCTGCCCTGCTGGGGCACACGCGTGTGTGTGTGTGCGCGCGCGCGTGCAAGCCCACAGCCATGCATCTCCTGCCCAAGCTCGGGTAGAACCCTGGCTGGCACGTGGTGTAGGTGCTAAGGCCACAGCAACTGCCTGCCGCCCCCACCCCAGCCTGTGCCACCATGGCTGCCCGCAGGCTGGAGCCCGCTGGTGGCCCTGCAATGAGCAGATGCCACCCTCATCGGCCCCAGCAGCATCACGAAAGGCAGCCGGAGGGCTTGGGGGTCACAGGTGCCCAGCCTCGCCCTGCAGAGGCTCCTCCAGGACTCGGGCTCCTCGGTGGGCTCCATGGCCAGCATGCTCCAGCCTCTACCCTCGAGTTTTGTAATCACAGTTCCCCAAACCTTGGCATTTAAATGGACTGAGGGGCTGAATCTAACTCCATTAGATTAGAAAATGGGAAAATGAGGCCCAGAGAGGGTGAAGCATGAAGGGTCGCATGGTACTAACCCCCAGGGCTCTGGTCCTGAGCCCCAACATATACCCAAGAGGTAACTGCTGTCTCCTGCATGAGCCTAACTGTGTGGCCTCTGGAGCTGGGCAGCTATCCTGGTTTTGACTCTTGCTATAGTAGCTGTGTGTCCTTGGGCAGGTCACTTTACCTCTCTGTGCATCAGTTTCCTAGGATGTAACAGTTTGTAAGGGCTGAGTTGACTGATACACTTAAAGTGCGTAGAAGGGAGTCGGCCCTTGCCTGCTGCTGTTGCTGTGATGCTCCCTGCTCTGGGTCCCCTGGACAGGCCCACTCAGGGCCTACAGAGGCCAGCCTCTCACCCTGGGCCTTCCTTGTAGATGAGGGCTCAGGGGGAGCCTGTCTGGCACAACCTCCCTGTCTCAGCCGCCAAAGAACGGGGGCCTGGAGGGCACCCGGGAGGCCAAGCTGTCCCCTGGCCCTGTAGGTTGGAGCCAGCTGTGGCTGGGGGATGGAGGGTTGGGTCTCTGGCTCATCTCCGCCTGACGCAGAGGTGACCCCAGGTGAGCCGTGTCACTTCTTGGGGCCCTGGGGCCTGATAGGTCAGCTGGTGCCTGATCCTTGGCAGGGCTCTGGCCTGGGGGACCACAGGCATGCTCCTGGCTACGGGGGAGACGGTACCTTCTGCCTCCCTAGTAGGTCCCGGCTGCTCCGTCAGCCCTGAAGCTGCACATCAGGGCGCGTGTGCCCACCCACATGCAGGGACACAGGGTAGCTCGCACCTGAGCCAGGCAAGCAGGAGGCAGAGACCGAGTGCTGAGCGGTGTGGGGGCGGGGCCGCCTGCCAGGAACCCCAGCCGGAAGCAGGAGGGACTGCGGGCTGTGCCCTGGGAACGCGAGGCCCTGGGCCTACGTGTGGCCCTCAGAGATGCCTGGCCCTGCCCTGTCCCCTCCTGGGCTCTCCCTCAGGCCCCCAGCAGCTTCCTCAGCCCCCCCAGCCCCCCAGGAAACCCAAGCTGGCCGGCCGGGCCCCTGCCCAGCAGCCAATCCCAACAGTGGAAGGAAATGTTTATTTTCTTCTCCAAATTGCCCCAGCTGCCGCTGCGGTGGCTGAATGAGCCCTTTGAGCAGTGAGAAACCCCCATTGTAGGCGGCTGCAGCCCGGGGCCGTGGGCAAGGGTGCACAGGGGCTGGGGTCCTGGCACTGCTTGCCAGTGACCAAAGTTGGGGGGTCAAAGGGAAGTGGTAGTGGGGCATCCCGAGGGCATCCCCAGGATGGGGCGTGAACGCAGAGGCTGGTCCCATCAGGAGGGAACACCAGTGAGCCAGGCCCCAAACACCTGGGGCTGCCGATACCCCTCTGCAGAGGGACCTCTTGATAGATGAGAAGACTGAGGCTCAGAGAGGGTAAGTGATCTGCCTGTGGTCACACAGCCAATGTCAGGCAGAGCCAGAGCTCCTAGCCAGCTCCACCTGACTGCGAAGTTCATGCCTCTTCCCTGGCCTGGGTGTTAAGGGCTCTTTCTCTCATCTCCAAGGATGAGAGAAAGGCCTGGAGGTGGGGCTGCTAGGGGCCACGGCTGCAGAGTGGCTAATGCGGGGAGGATGCATTTCAGGATGCCGAAGCAGGAGAACTGCATCAGCTCCGCCCCGTGGGACTGGACCTCCTCTCCTCACTGCCCAGGTGGAGGCTTAGGCTCCCATGGGTACTGATCAAACCATGCCCTCCCAGTCGTACAGGGGAGGACGTGGCTCTCCTTCCATGATAGCTGGTGGACAGGAAGCTGCTGCACACCCCTGCTGATGCTGGGCTTCCCTGGCCTGGCCCCGACACTGTTAGTCTGGCCTGGCCGAAGGCAGGGAAAGACCCAGAATGGTGAGCTCCTATAACTTGACTGATGCTGGCCTGTGGAGGACAGGAGCAGGGGCTGCTACTGGCTGCCCACCTCCCAGCACCTCTTTAGGCCAGACCCCCACCCCGGAGCTCCCCAGGGCCATGGGCTCAGAGAGGCTGCTCCTCCCCTTGGGGACCCGCTTCCTGAGCCTGGGTTACTATGGAGGCACCTTCTCTGCATTGCAGTGGTGCGTCAAGCCTGGCACATGGCAAGGGCCGGGACCAGCCCTCTCTGAGCAAGGTTCCAGCGGGCCCAGGTCAGCACAGCAGGTGGAGGGGCGAGGAGGTCGGGGACAGGCAGGAGCCATCCGCAACTCTACCCTGGGTTCTCCCTGCTCTGGGCCCCTTCTCAGGCCTGAAGAAGCACAGAACAGGATGGGGACTTTGGACCCGGACACTGACGGGCTCTATGACCCAAGGGTGGCCGTAACCTCTTCAGCCTCCATGCACTCATCTGCCAAATGGGCTCTGGCCAGGTCCTGCTGAACTGAGAAGATCGGGCCGTGGCCTCTGCCCTGGCCTGCAGCTGAGAGCCGCCCCGCTCTGTGCAGAGTCCCGCTTCGGCTCTGCGTCCACCTGCTGGCCTTGAACTGGTCATGGGCCAGTCGTCTCTGCTCGGGAGGACCTGCCCGAGGTCAGCTGTGGCCGTGCCTACTGCCTTCCTCCAGGCAACGGCACAGAGGCACAGGCGCCTCCGCGCCCCCCGACCCTTGCCCAGGGCTGGCACCTCACTTTTCAGTGTCTGAAATTTATTTGAGTACAGTAATGTTATCTGGACATCAGCTCATCCCTGGGCAGGGACCCCCGCCCCCACCCCACTTCCTGTGAGAATGCGGAGGCTGAGGGAGGGGTGCTGTGGACAGAGCGGGGACGCATTGCTCCTGGCTCTGTGGACACATCGTGTTCAGTTTTAACACAGGTACTGGAGGATTCACCCCACCTCCCCCAGGAGGGATCGACTCGGAGTGCAGGGGCTCTGTCTGCTCAGGCTTATCACTGGGGTTCAGCACCATGTGTGTTTGCAGAGTGACTGAATGAAGGTCTAGACATCTGAGGGAGCAAAGGGCACCGGCTGCCTCTTCCATGAAACAAAGGCAGTGAGTGATGTCTGGAAGGAACTCTGACGGGGGCCCACGGACCGCCCATTCCGGTCCTCCACCCACCACCCCTGCCCCACTTACCCTGGATTGGGGTCTGGGCCTGGCTGCTGAAGTGGCTCGTGGTACTGAGTGAGCCTCGGGGGCTGGGCGTGCTCGGTGTCATCCGCATGCGCAGTCGTTCCAGGTCCCCGAAGCGGTCAGGGAACACCTTAGTCTGGTCTTCTATCTTCTGCCGGTGCCCTGTGGAGCACATGGAGCTTATGAGCCTCAGGGGGCACAGAAGTGCCACTTACTGCCAGGAAATTCTGCTCGATGTCTAGCCTTGGGCCTCTACAGGGAGAACCCCGGCGTCACCACTAGCAGCTCCCTCTGGGGTTCTCAGGAGACTTCCTGAACAGAGGGTGGTAGCTAGACGCCACGGTCTCACCTCAACTCCGTGGGCAGGAATAATCACTCTCATACCATAGGAGGGGCCACTCCAGGCCTCCCGGTCACTCGGCCAGTAAGATGTGAAGTCAGAATATGAACTCAGTGGCACAAGCCTGCAATCCCAGCACTCTAAGCTGAGGCAGGAGGACTGCAGTGAGTTTGAGGCCAACCTCGGCTACACAGTGAGTTCAAGGCCAGCCTACACTACACTGTGAGATCCTGTCTCAAAATAAACAAACACCAAAAAAACCAAAAAGGGCCAGGGATATAGCTCAGTGTGAAGGCCCTGGGTTCAATTTGCAGTACCATTAAAAAAAAAAAGATATGAGCTCAGGATTCAAACCAAAGCCTGTCACCCCAACCTCTACAGCACACTGTTTGGCAGAAGGGGAAACTGAAGCTACACGCATGGGAATAGTGACTTAAGCAGGTCCCAGAGGTGGGCAGGGAGAGAAGCCAGGCATACGCTGCCCTCCACCCCATGTCTGCAAGAACAAGAGGGTCCAGGGAAGGCCCTGCCAGCTGTTCCAGCCCCCGGCCTCTGACAGAGGGGACTGCACCAGGACGCCAGGCAGAGGACAGAGGGCTTCTCTAGGACCCTGCATCCAGCTTGGGGCGCTACACAGGACAGCACTGCCAGCATCGCCCACCACCCCTCTCCTGGCCCGCCCCAAGGCACGCAGCCTCCATTCCCAGGTCCAGAGTGCTGGCAGGGTCAGAATGGCCGTGCCTCTGCCCCCTGCAACCTGATGGCACTCTGGAGAATGACATCAAGCTTGCGGGACCTTTCCCAGTGGCGCTGTCTCTCACACACACGCATGCATTTTTTTTTTTTTTTTCAGTTAATCACTTTATATTCCACAGGCAGCACTTAGAAATGAAATCTGCAAAAACCAAGGCATAGCAGCCAGCCTCTCTGACTTCCCCAGGCCCCTCCTCAGAAGGGGACCAGCCTGGCAAACACAGAGGAAGGCTCCCAGGGAGCTTTAAGGATGCTCTCAGCCTGGGTGTGTCTTTCCGTCACTCTCTGAATGGCAAGCCCTTTAGACGGGCTGTTTCTTTATCCCTGAGGTGGGGAGTCACCAGCCCACAGGAACGCAGCTGCCTGGGATGGCGCGCAGGCACTGCTGGGCCACTGGCTGACCTCTTCCCCTGGGAGTGCCGTTCACGTCTCTGTTGCTCTCCTCCATGAACGTTAGCTGCTCCCCAAGTTGCCTCTTTTAGCCCTGGGAGCAGCCCTCTTCCCACTTCCCCGAGCCCAGGGTTTCTCCGGGACAGGGGTCAGGAACAGCCTGCACCGTGGAGGGTGGCACTCTCCCGCCTGTTCTGCCTCCATTACTCCCGAGGGAGGCAGCCGGCCCTCTTTGACAGACAAGAGAACTGCGAACCAGAGAGGTACGGAGCTTGCCTGAGGTCACACTGCCAGAAAGGTGGTGGAATTTCCTGGACGTGAGCCCCATTAGAGAAGTGCGCGGAAGCAGCAAAAGGGAGAAGTTTGCTTGAGGTCTTGGGTCTGGAGTAACGTGTGATTTTTAAAAACTGACAGCGAAGACAAGTAGTTGGGACTCCACTGTTCTTCCTGGGGCCGGACAAGTGATTTCCAGAGAACTGGGTAGGTGTAGGATGACTGGGGAGCTCTGGTGGGAAGGAGGGGACAGAGCTGGAGCCTCAGGATGGCCCTTATTTCTGACTTTCAAAATGGGGACACTAAAGATTCTGGGACCTGCGGCCCCCTACATATCTGGCCACAAGTTCAAGTGGCCACTGGAAGCCTCGGAAGTGAGCCAGGACCTCCTGGGGGCCACAGAGGCCTGGTGGGTCATCAAGAACCAGGGAACCCACGTTCTGCTCTGATGAGGGCCCGGGCTGGGAGCTGACGGGACTCTGCGGCGGGGCGGGGAGCACTGCCCCTCTGGCCAGGCCCGCTTCTGGCCCCTCAGCCCCCAGACCCTCAGCAGCCAGCGGGAAAGCGTGGGCTGGGGCCGTTGTGGAGCTGGAGCTGCGTGGTGACCGCGGGGAGGCGGGGGCACAGGTGGGGGCTGGGGAGGAGGATGGTGTGTCCCGCGCGGCCACTTCCTGGGCCAGGCTGGGTCTTCAGCCCCAGCAGGCCCTGCGGGAAACAAGGCTGCCTGGCTGCTGAGGACTCTCGGAGTGGCAGGGAAGTGTGGAGAAGCTGGGGCCAATGAATTCAGAGCAACCTCGACAGGCAGGCCTGCCGGATGGCCACGGACGCCTCAGACCGACCCGCCGGCAGCTTGGGCGCGCAGGATCTGGGTGTCTTTGTCAACCACAAGCTTCAAGCGAGCCAGTAGGGCTCCACCAGAGCTGGTGCAAAACCTCAGGACTGTCATTGTCACTGGTGGATAAAGTCCCCTGTTTCTGAGTCACACCCTGTAGAGCGTTTACAGACACTTCCGTGGCCAGTGGGAGGAGGGCGGGGTCACAGCCAGCCTGGGGCCTCCCTCAACTTGCACCCCCTTCCCTGCCCCAAGCTGTGGTGTCCCCATCACGCTGCCCTTAGGGGTCCCTGTCCCATAGGGTCTGCAGACGCTTCCCTCTTATCCACATAGGTCACTGCTACCCCTGCTTGAGCCCCCAGGAGGCGGGATTAAAGACCAGCATGCTGGTGACCTGTGTCTGGAACACACAACCAAGACAGCAGGCAGGATTCACACCCAGCTCCAGGGCTCCTCCTCTGACTTTCCTGTTTGCTCTTACTGTTGAGATGGGGCCATAGGCTGCAGCGCAAGCCCACTGCTCTGGGGGCCTTGGCCCGGGGCTGTGAACCAGGGACCCCAGCCCAGAGCGAGCACTCCCCGATGTGAACAGAAGCACCTTCCCTCTACTTCGGGATGCTTCCTTGTGGCTGTGGAGCACAGAAGCCACTGCCTGGGAGGGGCGGAGGGGAGCCCAGGAAGCCCCACACGGCCAGGGCGCCTGAGAGTCTCCAAGCCACGGGGCCCGGCCTCACACTGGGGTGGACGGAACGGAAGTGCCTGTGCCTGGGGAGAGGAGATGGGCCGCAGAAAGGGCCTCTTTCATTCAGTTTCTGCACCGAGAGCTGGGCGGGGCTGTCCCCATTTACTAGTGCCTCAGTTTCCTCTCTGCATGGCTTGCTCACTGAGGCACTCTCCCTCTGAAAGTCCCTGACTGAGGACTGCAAGGATTCACCACTGGTCAGACCGGCCACGGGACCTCACGGCAGACAGAAGGCAGGGCCCTGTCCCCACACCTCACGCAACTCCTGTGCTCAGCTTCCAGAATATTCTCTGCCCCTAGTTCAGAGCCTCAGCACAGGACAGTCTCTGCCAGGAGTGCTCTCCCGTCCTGTGAGGCCCGGACCAGGAGCCCCTGCCAGGAAGCCCCCTTCCTCCCACCACTGAGCCCCAGGAGCCGCAGGAGCAGAAACACGAAGACTGCAGCCCCTGCTTCCTGAGCGCTTCTTCCCTGGCGGAGCCTGAGCTGCCCACCCCACCGCCTTCGTTCCCGTGCAGCCTCTTCCTGAGAGAGGTCTGCTGCTGTCCCCGCCTCACAGGAGAGGAAGCTGAGGCCTGAGGATGGTCTTGGACGTGTTCAGGGCACACAGAGGGCATCCGGCCGCCTGCCCTCCCCGGAGCCCGTCTCTCGGGAAAAGGGCCTGGAGTTTGCAAATCAGGTTCAGCCACGGCACAGAGCTGCTCTCCGCAGCACCAGGATGGGGCTGGGCAGAGGACCAGGAGAGGCCTCAGTGGGCTCCAGCAGGGGCTCTTGTCCCACTCTGAAGCTCAGGGTGCAGAGTGTGAGACTCTGCCACATCCTGCTATAACCCACCAAGTCCCTCTCCTTCTCAGGGCCTCAGTTTCCACATCCGCCAGGCAGTTATCATCCTGTCTGACCCCCAAAGGTATGGATGAGCTGAGGACAGAGCTCAAAGCTTTGAAACTACAGCGCTGAAGGGGCGGGGGAAGGGTGGACAGTGAGGGGGTGATGCCCCCAGCCCGAGGGGCCCGGCCTTTGAGCGGGCTCGCATCGCACACACTCCTCCCATACAGCTTTGCTTAGTGACCAACACTCTCACTAGGGGTGGGCGGACCCCAGCCTGTGTCTCCAGAGAGCCCAGCATCCCCAAGCCCAAACCTGGGTGCAGCCAGTCACCCCTGTGGTCCTGGGCAAATCCTTCTCTCCTTTGGGCGCTGGCTGTCCCGTCTGTCAAACTGAATCTCTGAGGGTGAAGGCAGGTGTGAGAATTAAACATCCACGGGTGCCCAGGGCCCCAGGCTGAGGCAGTAACTCCTCTTCAGCAAATCCAGTGGCGCGGTAGAGCCCTGGGCATGTGATGGGGGCCCTTCAGGCTGGGTGACACTGCCTATTCCAGGCCCGAGGCTCCCTAACTACGGTCCTCAGGGCATCCCTCATTATCCCTGTCCCGCCAGCACAGGTCCCAGCACGTACCAGGTGCCTGGTGCTTCTGGGGAGAACCCAGAGGCCATCAGGGTCAACCCCTCCTGCTCCGTGCTGCCCGACACACACCCCTGGGTAGGAGTGTGACCGTTCCAGCGGTGTCTATGGTGTGCCAGGCACTGTGCCAGGTGGGTCACATGCGTTATCTCCAAGGGCCACAGCGCTCTGAGATACTGCTATCCTCGCCCCCTTGTATGGACAGCAAGGGGGAGGCACCTAGGGTCACACCGTGAGATCCAGACCTGAGCGGCCAGCTGGCATAAGTTCTGCGCTTCCGAAGACCTCCGAGGGAGAACAGCCGGGTCACCTGGCCACGAGCTCCACCTGGCAGGAGCCCGGCTGAGCAGCTGACCCCCAGGTGGGAAGAGCAGGAAACAGAAGGGAGCTGCGGAGCCGCGCAGGGCCACGACATAGAGTTGCCGGCCAGGCAACAGGGTGAGCCCGACGACCGACCGGCCCTTCACCCATCTGATGCCACTTCTGGGGAGGCCGCGCCCCAGACACAGCAGCCACTGTCTGCACGGCTGTGGGTGGGGCGCCGGCCCAGCGCTCTGCGGCCTGTCAGGAGATTTACACCGGACTCGGAACAGCCGCGCAGAGTGGCAGGCGGGTGCTGGCCCAGGGTGGTCCGCTGTGAATCGGCCCCCTGTGAGCAGATGAAAGCCCTCGGTGGCTGGGCAGGGAAACGGGCTGGCAGGGGGCCAGTGGGCAGGAGGCAGCTCCCTCCCCTCTAGGCCTGGCCTGGGCTTGATTAGGGGAACCCGGGAGGTCTGAGGTTAACCCCTTCCCTCCTGCTGGGCCATATCCCCTGGCTCCTCTAGGCCGGTGCCCGGCTCAGGGGACACTCCTGGGCTGTGGGGGTCTTGGGTCCTGGGGGCCAGGAGCAGTGGCCTCTCCCCAGCCCAGGCCCACCTCCTGCCCTCCGCTTCCCCACACCTCAGCCCAGGACAAAACTGCAGCCACATCGGGGATTCCAGGGCAGCTGCAGGCTTTGGTCATTCTTCCAGACCATGCCAGGTCCCCCAGCAGCCACAGGGGCTGTTAGCCGTCTGTCACTTGTCACCTCCTGGGGGGCCCTTCCTCCGCCCTCAGCCTCCCCCCAGTTCCACTCTTCTCCATAGGATTTCTGCTACTCCAAATTAACGAAGTGTTTACTAAGCACCTACTACATACTGCTGTCTGTATGCCCAGGGTCACCACCACTGCTGGCAAAACAGACGAGAACCCCTACCCCATGGAGCATATAGAAAAGTGGAGGGAGATGAACAATAAATGAAATAAAATAGAGAACCTCACAGCACCCTGGATGATAAAGCAGTTGAGACAGAGAATTGCCAGGAGGACGAGGGGAGGCAAGAGTGCTGTGTGTGCAACCGGAAGCAGGGAGGCCACTGAGAAGGCTGAGGGAACATGTCAGGGTGGGAAGGAGCGAGTCACGCATCCAAGGGCAGCTAGGGAAGAGTGTTCCCAGCAGAAGGAGCAGCAGTGCAAAGGCCCTGAGGCAGCAGTGTGCCTGGCAGGAAGCTAGGGTGGCCAGAGTTGGGTGAACAAGGAAGAGAGTGCAGGAGAGTCACTGGCACAGGTTGGGTGGGGCCTTTGGGACCACAGGGACAGCAGGACCTGTTTCCACCTCTCCCCTCTGGACTTTGAGGCCCAGGAAGGTGAAAACCCATTTGGCTGGATTCACGGTGGTGTCCCCAGCATGTGGAACAGTGCCTGGCACAGGGTAGATGCCCAGGAAAATATTTGTGGGAATCACTCCGTGTACCTTCTGGGGAGGAAGGGGCCATGGGAGGATGCTAGCTCCCTTCCCCTGGGCCGCAGGGAGGATCAAGAACCTGGGTGTGACCCTTTCAATACCAGCACCTGCTAAGCCCAGCGGATGGGGTAAGCCATTCCCAAACTGCGGTCACCACCAGCACTGCCCGGCACCGGCAGCGCCTCCTGCCCCATCTTGGATCCGGCTCAGCAACCTGCATTTTCACCAGCCCCCGGCGACTCTGAGGGACACCAGCATTGAGAACCTCAGAAACCGAGGCCACACAGGCAGGAAGCCACCAAGCCAGCCTCAGGCCAGCTGGCCACCCCTCTGGAGGCCGGGCACGCTCTGCAGGGCACCAGAGGGGAACGACCTAGCCACAGAACCCACAGGCGGGCCTTGGGGAGCTACAGACCCTGCTCCTGTGCTCCCAGCGGCTCCGCGGCACCCGCCCCACCCCACACCGGCTCGGACCTCACAGGGCGCTGAGCCGCAAAGCAGGAGAAAAGCCCCAAAAGGAACTCCCGGGGTGCAGAGCTCCCGGGGTCCAGAGGGCTGCCGGGCACTTCCTGTGGGGCAGGCGCCCGAAACTCACCGAATGTCACAGCTCCCCCGAACGGACACAAGCACCATCCCTGTTTATAGACCTGCACACGGCGGGTGGGGCCTCTGAGCCCCTGGGGGAGCCCCAGGAGCCCTGAAGTTCACAGAGGGCAGTGCTCTGTCTCCCTGCCACCTCCTGGTTGCTGAGGCTTGATTCACAGAGACTTTGCCCACAGCCTGGCGTGCTGGGCCTTTCACCACCCAGCAGCTGTGGAGCTGACCTTTCCGCTCTTGGAGATGGGAAACTGAGGCCAGGAAAGGGAAAGGATTGTCTACAGTCCCAGGTTGGAGGCCAGCAGTAAGTGGGCCTTACGCACGGGGGATCTGGGGGATCTGGAGGAACCGGCCCCTCCCCACCTCCGCTTGTCTCCCCGCCATCAGCTGCCTGTCTTGTGCCACCCCTGCCCCTACCCGCTCACCCCCAAAGGCCACTCAGGCCTGGAGGACCTCAGGAGAGAAGCGCAGGCAGAGGATGCCCCAGGGCATCTGCAGGGCAGGGCTGAGCCTCTGCACTCACCGGGGGGCCTCGGGAGGGAAGGATGGACGGTGCTGGGCTGGGCAGGCTGAGCCCGGAGGCCACAGACACGGCATGGACCCCTGGGACTTTCCTAGCACGCTCCAGGCCCCCGTCACGTGCCTTTCTTTAGAGTGGCCCTCACCGCCACATCCTTACACTACACCCAACTGCGGCTCCCGTCCATCTGGGTCCTGCCTGGGGCTCGCAGCACGCGTGCCCTCCCTCCATGACCATGCCTCTGTGACCAGGCTGGGTGCCGGGAGCCACCCTGCAGCTCCCTGGGGAAGCTGCCACCGATTATGATGGTGCTGACAGTGTGGGGGAGGGGAGGAGTGCCAAGGAGACCAGAAAAGCAGGGACCCAGTGACTCTCGAGAACCTTCTGTCTGCCAGAACCACTCACATGTCGCCAAGATCGCCAGGCCTGCAGGGCACAGGTGTCCATCCCACTTCATGCAGAAGGGGTCTGAGGCCCAGAACGGTCAGTGACTTGCCCAAGATCATATGGGGATAAAGTCCTGGATAAAGGAACCAGTCGCTCGGTGTGCAAGGTGCTGTATGCACTTTACCTCAACAGCACTATGAGGTAGCGACTGGGGAAAGCCACTTTCCAGGCAAGAAAACTGAGGCACGACAGTGTCTTGCCTGAGGCCCACAGTCAGGCAGGCTGGCTCAGCACCTACTCTCCGCACCCTGGTGGCCTACAGGGCACAAACGCTTCCCAGTCATCACCACCTTGAGATGCCTGGGCTCACCCACCCAGTTCACAGATGATTAAACTGAGGCCAAAAAGCAGATAGCACTGTCCTGGGGTCCCGAAGCCCAGAACAGAGCACGAAGCCATCCGGGTCTGATCCCAGTGGGAAGAAACAGGAAGGAATTTGGTCAGAAGTCCTGGCTGACCTTGAGTGGGAGCTCAGGACGGCCAGAGGAGGTGACGCCGAGAGTCCCCGAGGGAAGCTCTGCCAGGGCCACCTGGCCCAGCTCCGAGCCTCCCGGGCACTAGGGGAAGAGCCTGTCCCAGGCTGTCCTCCTGGAGCCTGTCCTAGGCTGCTCAGTGAGTGGGAGGTTGCCTCTGGGACGCGCTTCCCTCGCGGGGCATGTGCGAGACCCCACAGGGCATAGGCACAGGCCCTCTCTTCCCTGCAGTGAGGGTGACCCTCTGCCTCAGCTGTATGAGGACCCCATGTGAAAACAAGCACGAAACGTTTTCTCAACTGAAAGCCCTGCACGTACAAAGGGGTGCAGGCCAGCCCTCAACACACAGGCTAAGCAGTCCTGGGGTGGGGGTTGCAAAGGTAGGAGCTCTAGGATCAAGCTCAGGAAGCAGCCAGTCCCTTGAGCTGGTGTGTTGATTCTGTTTCATTTATTCACTCATTCTTCATCCAGCCAACACAGACCAAAGCTTCCCCTCCAGTTTTTCCAGCCTTGATCTGCAGACTCCAGGGCCTTCGGTGGGCAGCAGGAGTTAAACGCAAACTCGCCTTGACTGATCAGGACTCCCTGTACACAGGAGGCGCTGAGCACCTATTTACAGAATCAAATCCGCCTTCCTGGTCTCATTTGTGGGGGTTTGGGTGCCAGAGTGCATAGAATTCTGTGACTCGAGCAAGTCACATGCTAAGACCCAAAGGGTTTCCGAGGAGGGGGCCTGGCCTCACAGCTGGACCTGGCCTCACTCTTCTCTTTTGATCACTCCCTGCCACACATATCCCTCGGCCACTGGCAGAGGAAGCTGGCATGGACAGCACACCTGATCCAACCTCCACCCGAAACGCACCCTGTATCCGCAGCTTCCTCCATCTTCTTCCTTTCCCTGTCCCCGCTGCTGGCCCCCACTGGGCCGTCATCCCTCAGGGAGGGCTCCCCCAGCTGCTTCCGCCATCTAGTCTCAGGCCCCCAGCTGGCCTCTCAGTCGGAGCTAAGCCCAGAGGGTTCAGGGTTTGCGGCAGGCACACGGGCTGCGGAGCTGAGGACCGCAGCCCCACCAGCACTCCAGGGACCCAGGGTCATCTGCCTGACCTTCCTGCCCACCTCCCCTGCCTCCCACCCCAGCCTGGAGCTTAGGGGATCAGTGGCACTTACGTCTGGGCTCCCGGGGCCCGTCCACGGTGACCTTGATGGCTCGATGGTAGGTGGCCACTTGGGTGGGGTTGGTGAACACAGTGATGGTCAGTGTGAAACTCTTCCCTGGGGAGATAAAGGCAGGAAGTTGGCTCCTGGCGCTTTTGCAACACCCTGGTCTCCTACCTGTACTTCCATTAAGAACCCCTGACGTTTTAGAAGAGGCAGATTTCTCCCCTTTGAGCCTAGAAGATGGGGCTCTGGGTGAATGAAGTTCAAATTGGTGGGCTTGGCATTCAAGGTCCCTGGGAGTCTGAGGCCAACCCTATCACCCCCAACTCCCACGTTTATCCCTTCCCTGCCTTTGGGCCTTTTTTGGTGCTACTCACACTCTTCAGAGACACACTTAATATTGCATATATGTTAGTATTATTTCTTTCAAAGCAGTAATCTTTGTAGAAAAATTTGAGGACACAGGAGAGAAGAACCCCCCCCCCCAACACACAGTTCCATGAGCCAGAAACAAACATCGTTACCATCTGGATTTTCTCTTCCAACCCTCTGTACAGGTCTGCATATTTACACAGTTCCAGTAGCACTAAAATATATTTTTATGCCCCCCCTTTTCTTTCATTTAACATCAGATCAGCAACACTTTGCAAAGTCGTTAAAAGTTCTTCGTAAACCTCATATTTTTGTTTGTTTGTGGAGATGCTCTCACTATGTTGTTCAGACCAGCCTTGAACTCACTGTACAGCCCAGGATGGCTTCAAACTCAAACTGGTTGATCCTCCTGCCTCAGCCTCTTGAGTGCTGGGATTACAGGTGTGCACCACTGTGCCCAGCTTAAACTTCATTTTTTTAATGGCTACAAAATATTTCAAGTCAAGGAAGCCGCATCTTTTATTTCTCTACCTCCAAGCCCTGGGGTCTCCATGCCGGTGCTAGTTTCTGACTGGCGTGTGCAGCCCGGGCTGGAAGAGGGCTGATCTGGAAGCTGCAGACTTTTCATTTGCAGACACAACTGTTATTTCCAGAACCCTGTTTCTATTTTTAGATAGACATTTGGCTCCAAAGTCTCCATTCAAAATTCCTTAGAGGGGGAAAAAAATCTTTTAAAATAATACTTTTCTTTTTTTTTTTACCATTTAAAATAAAATGAAAATGACCTTCTGTTTATAAAAATCTTTGTCTGCATCTCTGCTTATTTCCTTAGAATAGGTTCGAAGAAGTGGTGAGTGATCGCGTCGCACGTGAGGGCTGGGGTGTCGGGCGCTGATCTCTCTCTTGGGGTGAGATGACTCTCAGAGAAGCGCGTCACATGTCAGGAGCACGGTGAGGGCCAGCGCCACCCCCGCGCCCCCCGCCCCCCACTGTGTCTATCAAGACAGAAGATCTTCAGACTGTATTTTCTTTGCTTTTCTGCCATTATTAGTGAGACTGAAACCTGTCATATGGCTATGCATAACAATCCAACACAAATTATTGCTTCGTGTCCTTTACACTTTGGCCATATACTGAGCTGGTTAATGCTGTCACATTGTCTTGGTGACCGCCAGTTCCCCAGGGCAGCGGCCGCGGTGCTGAGCTCCTCTCCATCATCCTCAGTTCTATTTCTCACCGGTGACTTCTGTTTTTAGGTGGAGACAGGTTTCCCACGTAAAAACCCGATAAAGGTTGACTCTTCTGCTGTCTGTGGTAACTCTGTGACTGGCCTGGGAGTTGGCTGGTCAGTGTGGGCTGGTCAGTGTGGGCTAAGTGGAGGGTTTTCCCACAGGGGAACCCAATTTTACTAGCACCTAAAGTAGGAGACATCCACTACCCAGTTATATTCTGAAGCTTTGCATTATATGAGGTTGGGGGTGCTGCACTGATCCCCACATTAGGCTTCACCTCCCTCCTCTGCACCTGGTAGACCCCTGCCTCCGACCTGCCACAGGCTACTATTCTGGTGGCTGCAGACAGGCTCCAGGGCCAGGCGGGTGTGAAGCTCAGGCCGGAGCACGGTCTCATGGTTCCTTTTGCACAGCTGGGTACTCACTGGCCAAGAACTCAAGTGAAAATTCTAGCTTCAGAAACAGAACAAGCCTCAATAAAATTAAACCAGCCGGGCACAGGGGCCATGCCAAAGAGCCCGAGGGCTTCTGAGACACAAGGGGGTTTAAAGCTCAAGTGTGACAGTTGTGGTTCCACTGGGAACCTGGGAACGAGCCGGGCTTCTCTGATGCCTCCTGAGCCAACAGCTGGAGGCCTGGACAGGAACACTAAGGCACTTGCCCCTGGGTTCCCCAAGTCTGAATAAACCCAGGCCCTCACTCTCAGGGTCTTAGCATGACTTGTAGAAACAGAAAGTGCAGGTTGGGGCTGGGGATTTAGCTCAGCAGCACAGCGATTGCCTGGCAAGCATGATGTGAATTCAATTCCTGGTACCGGAAACAAACAAACAAACAAAAAAAAGAAAGTACAGGTTGTCCAGAGAAACGCAAGGCAGGTGGCCTCCAACTCGCTGCTACCCACTCCCTGGATATGCCTGCCCTCTGCTGCCTTCCTTCCCTCTGAGGTCACTTCCCTCCCAGGTTCTCTCCCTCCGAGCAGCCAGGCACTCCCTGGGGGTGGGATGGAGGTGTCCCTAACTTCTGAACTCCCCCTTCCCACACTCTGCCAACCCTCTTTGGTTCTGGGCCAGGCTGACGGGGAGTTTAGGACCATGGAGCCCCAGCAGCCCGAGTTCGAACACTGAAGGGCAAGGCACACCCACTCCCTGCAGCAGCAGCCTGGCCGCAGCTACACTTCTGGGTCTGAACTGAAAAGTCACCTTCTCTGGGAGCTTTTCCTGGTCACTTTATCTCCAAGAGGCATTTTGGGGGCTGCAGGTATCGCTCAGCGGTAGAGAACTTGCCTAGTAAGCACCAGGCCCTGGGTTCCATCCCCAACACCAAAATAATAAAAACAATAATAAGCAGACATTTTAAACGTGGCCTCCAAGAAGAACGCTTAGCATTGAGCAGACCAGTAACTGGATAGGAAGAAAAACTGCAATGGCATTGTCTCCAGCCTCTAACTGAAATGCAGCCTGTCTTAGGCAAGAGCTCAGGCCGCAAACCACAGAGGTGTTCTGGGCCACACCTGTGACCTTGCTGCCAGGGACGGGACAGACATTCACAAAGCACACGGCGGTCCTTTCAGGTTTCTCTGAATACCTTGTATGCGTGTCACAACCTCGCAGTCATGGCCATCATCAGAACCATTCCTAGATCTTGTTACTTAATACGTTAAACAAAGCAGCACATTCATCACATTTTGCTGTTTAAGGGAGTGTCGTCGCATATTGCAATCCTTTGTGCCTTATTTATGATGGAAGCTGCTCAATCTATAGCCTCACAGGGCTCCCTCTCCCCGCTTTCTTCAATCCCTGTGCTGCACGAATTTCTCCCACAGTGCCCATCACCTTTAATAATCCATCCAATTTATTTATTTTTCTTTGTCTCCCTCTATTAGACTCTAAGCTGCCTTGGAGGCCAGGATTTTTGTTGCGTTCACTGTGTCCCCAGCCCATTAGAATAGGATCTGGCACAGAGTAGGTGCTCAAGAGACATCTGTGAATTAAGAGCAGAGATCACAGCTCACTTTTTACAGAAGCAAAGACTGAGGCTCAGAGAGGGGCAGGGAACTGGCGAGGTCACACAGCATCCAGACAGAACCCAGACAGGTTAGAACGTGCAGCAGCCTGCCTTCCACAGGGCTCTCAGAGTGTGAACCACCTCCCGACACAAGGTAACCAACCACACGCCACCCCTGAGGTCGCCAGCCTTCCCAAGCATCTAAGGAGAAGAGAGAGGGTATCAAGAGGACAGGGTGCTGGGAGTGCAGAGTGGACGGGGGGGAGGGGAGGGGCCCCAAGAACCAGGAGTGGGAGAACGCCAGCTTTCTGGGTCTCCCTCCTTTCTCTCCGGTCCTACCTAGCGCTCTCTCTGCCCACCACCCCATCCATCTCTCCTCTTGGAGCAGGAAGCTGAGGACAAAGGAGGTGGACATCTCTTTGCAGGGAGCTTGGCAAATGTGCGCTCAGCCCCGAACCCAGGGGCTGCAGACCACTGAACTCTGAACGGTGGCCCTGGCTGGAGGAAGAAGTCCACGTTTGGGAAACAGGTGCTCCCTGGGACACTGAGCAGCCCCAGACATTCCTGCAGGGCCCAGGCCCCCTCGGCCCAACCAGCAAGTTCAGCCAGGCCAGACAGGGCGGCCTCAGGAACGCTCCTGGGCCGCTGGGTTCCTATGTGACAAGCACCACCCACAGGAGCTGCATGGGTCTCAGGGGACCTCTGGGTTTTCTCAACACTGGCCAAGATGCCATCTAACCCTTCCGCAAATAGCGGTCCCCTAGGCCTGCACCAGGACTTCCCACCTGCGGTGCTCATGTTCCCTTTCACCCAGTTAATGACAGTTTAGTCTCAGTTTTGCCTAGACCAGTGGCTGCCTCCTACAGGGCAATTTGGGGTTTTGTGGCGGTGCGTGGCCAACGGAGCACCGGGGTGGTACTGTTGGTGTTTAGGGCTGGACTGCATGACCGGGGGGCAGGGAGGTGCAAACAATCAGGGCTGCACAGGGCCAGGAGGAACGTATTTTTCCTGAGGGGCTGGATTTTGTTTATAAAAATTCTCCACCCCATGATGAACCTAATTCAGTTTTATATAACAAAGGCAAATTTGGGGCATTTTTAATATCTCTTCAACTTTCCAGAAGGAAAGGCAGTTTTATGTAAATCTGGGGCTGAGTGGTAGACTACTTCCCTAGAATGGTGCACAGCCCCAGGTTTGATATCCAGCACTACAAAAAAGAAGAAAAAAAATGCTCCACACTTTGCCAAGAGTTTTCACATCTTCAGAAAATCACGGCGTTGATGGCGAGGCCACCCACTGTCAGGCCTTGAGTCCTGTTCTAAGCCCGCTTGTTGGGCTTTCTGCAGCTGTCACGGGGCTTCTGCACAGAGGGCATCGTCTAGCTGGTAGAAGTAGTCTCATTCCAACATTTACGTTTTCAAGTCTCATCCCTACATGTATGATATATTATTCTGCCTTTTCCTCCATGGCAGCTACGGAATTACACAGTAGGTGGATTGTGGGAATCTACAAACTTCACTGTAAGAGAGGAAGGAGCAAAATAGTCACTGTGTGAAAAGGATGCTGGCCTGGCAGCGCGGCACGCTGGGCCCTAATCCCTGCAGGAGACAGCCGTGACCTGCTTTCCTTTCCACCCCTTTCTTGGTTCACACCTGCAGTCTTACTGTCAGAACCCTATGGTGTTCCTGGGTTTTTGGGAAAGCCATCTCCCGGCATTCAGATAAAATCAAGGGGTGAGAAGTAGAGGAAACAAGCAGACCTATCCACCTGACTTCTTAGTCCTGGTAGCTGTCAGTGAGTCAGGGAAGAGGGTCCGGGTCCCAGCACCCAAACTGTCCCCGCCCTTAGAGTGGCCCCGGCTGTGTGTCAATCACAGGTTTGTTCTCAGCTGGGAATTTCCCATCAGGACCACACATGAAGAGTCACTGTGACAGGCCTGCATGACGGACCCTGCACCCTCTTGCGTACTGCCAGCCTCCTCTACCTCTCCCACTCACCAATTCACACCTTCTGTGTTTCCCCCACCCCCGCCCAAACCACACTAATCAGAGAATCAGTGACTGTCACCGCTCAAAGGGACCTCAAAGGCCTCCTCCAGGCCCAAGCACTGAAGGTAACAAAATCTCTAACTTGTATCCAAATCTCAATCACAAATCTCAATATGTGCCACCTGATACACCCGTGTTGATTTCCTTAATGCTCCCCAAATCTCATGAGGGAGGCGCCATTATCACCACCACCACCAGGTTTGACAGCCAAGGAAACAGAGGCGCAGAGAAGTCATTGGCCCAGTGTCACCCAGCATGTCACTAGCAGAGTTGGGGCTCAAAGCGGGGGAGGCCAGGTCTAGAGATCAGACTCTCAATGAACGCCCCAGAGTTCCACAGGCACTGGAACTCCCTCCCCCTCGGTCTTCTTCCTGCCCCCCAGGGCCAGAGAGACTGCTGAGAGCTGAGACTGGACATGGGAATGGTCTGTAAACTTAGTACCCACAATGCCAGGGTTAGCTTTGCCCGCTCTGCTTTCAGGGCTCGAAGTTCAGTGCTGTCTTGGAAACCTGTCTCCCTCCTGGGGCCATCCGGGTGGCGCGGGTCTATGGGCGTGCAAACAGCGGAGACATCATTCTCAGTACACACAGAGGCCGGAGGAAGTCTTGCTAAGTCAGAGTATCTCATCTCTTCTCTTCCTCCCATGGCTCCCTTCCCTGGAGAGGGAGTAGCTGGGAGGGAGAAGGAAGCGCAGACTTCCTGATGCCTCCAGCACTCCTGGGACCCACCTCGCTTTCTCGCTCCCCAGAGCAGCCATCGTGGCCCCAACACACACCTGGGCCACCCTTGCCCAGCCGCCACCAACCTGTCACAGCAGCTCTCCATTCGGGCCGGGGCTGGGATTAAGTTGCAAAGAGCTGGGGAGATTGGGGATGACAAAAGGGGCTTGGAGACTAATTAGGAGCAGCAACGAAAGCTTAATTCATAAAAGCAAACATTTTCCATCCATCAACCTGCAACCAGTTAAGGGCACCGTTTGAAAGAAATCTGTGCGTGGGGAAGGGAGCCAACAGGAACAGGAAATGTTTGAAAGAATGTAAACTATTTCAGTTTCATAAAAAGTAACAAGTAAACAGTTATTACATGCAAATAATGCCCTGGTTTTAATTAATGCTGAAAAGTCAAAATATGTTTGACATTTGTATGTATACACTGAGCGGGTGGAGAGGACACAATGGTGCCCAGATGCCCGTTAGGGAGCAGGCTGGCGGCTCGGAGGGAACTAGTGCCTTGAGAAGCCTTGTTTATTGGTGATGAAAAGCACAATTCTGCTCCAGCCGGCAGCCCCGGCCCTAGAGTGCAGCCCGGGAGCGAGGGAACTCACTCGCATCACCCCAAGCAGAGAGCGTCTGGTGCTGGGGAAGGCACTCCTCTGCTCAGCCACCTCTGGCTCGTCTTAAAGGGCCAGCGGACCCCAGGCCTCCGTGTTGCCACCAGGCAGGGTTTCCAGGACTCCTCCACCCAGGAGCTGAGTGATGAAGGGTTTCGGATCCCAGCAGCCTCCCACTCAACAGCCCCTGGCAACAGCCAGTGTGGCGTCTGGTGCTGCCTTCCTGCCCCTGCCACTGCCGGGAAGATCAGACAGGCGGGGCGGCCACCAGCTTGCCTCTGGGGCAGGGGATGGCAGCCCTAACACAACCCACACTGCAGTCATCGCTCTTCTGAACCACGTAAGGGCCTAAAGGGCTTCGGGAGCCCACAGCTGGGGGAGGTGGCCTCCAAGTAGGGGAGATCCTGCCCCTGGGAGAGTGGCTAGCGTGCCACAGACCAAGGGCTTGTCCTCGGAGCCAAGCCTTTTAAGCTCCCTGAGCTTGTTAATTCACGGTCTTCTCCCAGCATCTCTTTGTGAGACTAGAACTGCTGAACTGGGAAAGAGGGGCTGCATGGGAGGCTTCTGGAGTTTTCAGAAGGTTTCCAGAAACCGGGAGAAAATTGTCTTTTTCATGCAAGAGATCATAAACTTCCTCACATCCTCCAAGAAGTCAGTAACACTCTCAAGGACGGCGAAGGGCTATTTTAGAAAGACCAGGGTCTGAAGACCTGTTTCTGGACACCAAGGCCCCTGTCTCGGCCTCATTCCCCCACCTGAGCCATCGCCAAGGTCCCAGTGGCCCGGGGGCCAGGTCTCCCTCCCACTCACCTCGCCCACTGCGGCCCACAAAGCGGAGGTCGTTGAATCTGGCCACCTGATTCTTCATGACGGCTGAGGCGTTGCGCAGTTCAGCAGAATAGTTCTCGTCATTGCCTGCCATCACAGTCACCACGGTTCCATCCGGCACATCCCCCAGTGCCACCACCTGAGGACACAGGGGGAAGGGGACAGCTTAGCAAGGCAGGAGAAAACAGGAGAAGGAGGGGAGGGGCTGGCCCAGCGGCTCCCCTAGGTCCCAGGCGCAATGCGGATTTCTCAAACGCAGGGAGGGAGAAAGCCTTAAAAACAATGGAGATCTTCCCAAAATAGAACAGAAACAAGAAGATGCGATCTCTCCCTTCCATTCCCAAGTCCTAGATCAACTAGTCAGCCCGTGTCCCAAGAACTCATCCTTTCAATTAAATGAAACTAAGGGGAGAGCTGTGAATTAGCTCAGTCGCTCAGAGGTGGGACGCAGTTCCTCTGTCCTCCTCTGCTACTGAAAAAGAGGAATCAACATGCTCCTAGCAACCCTGTCTCCAAGTAAAAAGAATATCAACAATAATAATAACAGGACTGCCCCCTGAACTCCATCCATGCAAGAGCCCTGTGGTGTATGAAGTCTGGCCCTGAAATGTAGCCCAGGCCCAGTTTACTGGCCTCTGCAGAACTTGAATTCGTTATGCAGAGAAAATGCAAAATAAACTGCTGTTTTGAGAAAGGTCAGTCCAGAAAACCCCTGTAAAGCAGGAGGGGAGCTTCTGATATCAGGAGGATGCACCTGCTGAAAACTGCACGGTGGGTGGAGATGCCCTTCAGCCCCCAACACCGGCTCCCCCAGCTCATATACAAGGAGCAGGAGAGGCAGATGCCTTCCGAAAAGGAATCAGATTGTAAATAGAGTCACAGTCATTTAAACGTGGCCACCTCGTGCAGGGACTGGGGATCCAGATGGTAAAAATTTCAAGGAGAAAATGTTTGGGGTCTGATTAAAAAGGCCAGATTTCCTGTCAACATCCTGTCTTCTTTTAATTTCAAAGATTCCTTTTAAGCTCCAAGTGACAGTAAAACCTCCGATCTGACGATTACAGTCACACGGGCCTCCTCCCCCTCTTCCCCGGGAGATTTTCCGCCCCCCCGCTGGTATTTTAAGATGTCACCCGGGGAGACCTCAAAGAGCCACTAGTCTTTTTTTTTTTTTTTTTTTTTTTTAATTCAGAGTTGTCTTAATGGGAGCAAGGACGGTCTCAGCTGCCCTAGCCTTCTTTTCCAGGCACCTCGAGCACCACCACCTCCCCAGCCGCTGGCCCTTCCTGCCCTGCCCTTTCTCGCCACAGCTGTGAGAGGTTTAGGGGAAAACCGAAGCGTTTTTTCGTTTCATCTCGCTGCCCGCTTAAAAAAATGAAAATGAAACAGTCGCCTACTCCTTGACATTGAGAAAACTATTCTTTGAATGACTAGGGGCTGCCAGGAGTGAGAACACCCATAATCTCAGCCTGCCATTCTGGACGCAGCACATCCCGGCCGCAGCAGCCGTTCAGAGTGCGGTGCCACCGATCCCGGCCTCTGGTGGCTCCGGGTAAGGAGTCAGAAGCTGGGGCTTGAGGCTATGAGCAGGAAGTGCTTCGGAAGCTGCGCAGGAGGAGGGGTGCAGCAATGGAGGCTAGGCCCAGTTCATCCTCTGCACCCCATCTCCGGTGTCCTCACCCTGGTCCTGGGATCCTCCTCCCGTTTGCTCCCAGGGCTGGGACCAAGGGACCCCCGATTAGGGGAAACGGAGCCTCATCCTCCCGATTCTGCATCAGTGTCCCCGTGCAGGGCTCCGCGAAGCCCCTCAAAGTTAGGGGTTCAGGGCGCATCTGGGAGGGAACTTCTGGATTCCGCACTCCGAGCGCGCAGCGGGGCCGCGGGGGCTCGGGTGCGTCCTTTCCGCAGTCCTCCCGCGCCCGGACGCCAGTGCCTCCCCACCCGCCGGAGGCCCGCACTCACCTTGAAGGCGACGGGCAGCGTCTTGTTGCAGCGCCAGTGCGAGGGCAGCACGGAGCAGAGGAAGTTGGGGCTGTCGGTGCGCACGAGCTCGCCCGCGTGGTCCGCCAGCACGTCCACCATCGAGCGCACCTCGGGCCGGGCGCGCCCGCCGGGCCCCACGGCCGCCTGCGCGCTCA